GTCGTAAGAAAAAGAGAGGTCACCAGGGGGAGGACAAACAGGACGACTAGCAAACAGATCAGGCAAGCAAGCGAGCAGACAAATCTATGCACTACGCATCATTACCGACAGACATTACAACAACAACAACAACGACGACAAGGATGGATGGAAACAAACTCATAAGATGGCGGGCTGGAGGTTACAGGGTGGGTGGTGATGGTGGTCGAGTAATGGATTCTTTATTTCACACGACGAACAAACGAAGATGGTGGGGTCGGGAATATTAGAAATACGAATCTAGCAATAGAGATTATTGTCGTAGCACCTCTGATCAAAATTATTTATCTTTATATTTTGGACAACCTGCTTAACTGAAATTATGATTGAATAAGAAGCAGAAGTCGTTCAGTTGAGATGTCCAAAACCAAATTTGAGTCATAGAAAGATTTGAATATGTTGTGAGTTTGGTCAAATTACACACCCACTTTTCCCCCCGATTATCTTTGTTTTAAATTCACAACCTTTATTTATTAATAAATCATAAAATGCCATTTTCTTAACTAAACAATAAGGATTTATTTAAAAACCTGTGACAGTTTTTAAAAAGTAATTCTAATTCAAAAAACATTTGTTTTTAATTATTTCAAATTTATTTATTAAATTAATTGACACAAAATTTTGAAATTGTTTAATCATATTTATGATAAAAATTTGAAAGTTCCACAGAAAAGTTTGCTTTTTGTTTTTTTTATGGAGAGAGGTGAGGCGTCTTCAAAATTTAGCGAAAATATCTAGCGAAAATATCAACACTTGGTGCTTAAAGTTTGAAGACATAAATTAAAAACAAATTCAAATTCACCTCGATGGTGTAAGTTAGATTACTGCAGACATTAAATTGGTCCTGTTTAAGAGAATACTTGAGGGGTGAGTTAAAACACTTTCTCCAAGCGTAGATATATCTCTGCCCATTGGTCAATAGTTTTACTTTTAAATTAAAAAATATCTTAAATGTTTAAAAAATAAGTAAGGGCCAAAAGAAGAGGTTCTGTTGATTACTCTTCTTTAAGTTAAAGTAGATTGGAAGATTTTACACACAGATATTGAACATGAGAATAGAAAGCGAACCTGCCTGTTTTTTTCTTCAGAGTTGGTTAACTAACTTAACTGTAAAAAAGAATAGTTCTTTTGAAACGATCCTTAAGTTTTATTAGCCACATGAGATTTAACTGCCCATTTTAGAAGTATGGAGGATCAGTCTTCAAGTTGACCGTTGTTAAGGTCAATGTTTAATAAAAAATATCACAGTTTCTTTACACAGCAAATGAGCCGTGACCGCTCCCCTAAATTAACAGTGCAAAAGTTGATATACTTGTAGGAATTCGCAGATTTAGCCGGTAAGGTGACAGAAAAGACAAAGAGTACGAAAGTCTTTTTTTATTCAGTTCGAACTTTTGGTTTGTTTTAAAAAATGACCAATGTAAAAAAAAAAAAAGATCTATCACTTCTTTTTCTTGTGGTTTTAAATTATTGGCATCATGGATTTCAAAACTACAAAATAAAAATATCCACAGTATGGATTTGATGTTTTTAAAGTCTGAGATGCTTGTTCTTTGGTTCAGAAAAGGACCAAATGATTAAAATGGTCGACGTGTTTTCGAAATAAGCCGTGGACCCCTTTAATAGTAGTAGTAGTGATAACGTCCAGTTAAGCGACAGGATGAAGGGATTTATTAGAAAATTCATTTAATTTTATCTTTCAAATAATAATTATAGCAGTTATGGATTAATTGTGTATTGGTAATCATAACAGCGATCACTGGAAGTGGAGAAAGAGATAATTCTTGTCATTTTGCACTAAAAACACAAAGCACTCAGTCATGTGGAAGGAAGAAGAAGTCAGCCATTCAACCATCAAAGGTCAACTGCTGCTGTCGAATTGATTCTTCTTTTCCTTCCACATGATTTCATCTTTTATTGCCACCTTTTTATTTGCTTCCCAATAAATTATAACAACATCATCACTCAACCAGAAAAAGAGATTAGTTTTTAGAACCTAATTAATTTATTACACTTTTCTTTCTTTTTTAATTTTTGTATGAATTTTTTTTCTTAAAGTAAAACGATGTCCGCACTGAAAAAGTAAAGAAATTTTCAAAATGGCAAGTTTCTTGTTTTCAATGACAGTAAAGTTAATAATATGAATAAATATTCATAAATAGCAAATATATCTCAAATTTTAAATACTTTACGACTGGAAAAACTATTGCCAAAAAGTGAGACTGTATCTTTTTTCTAAATGAGTCATATTAAACAAAGTGTTCTGCTGAGTGATTCGGTAAAAATAAAATAAAAAAAAAACGATGTTCAAAAATGCAGCGAAAATAAAGCCATCTGATTTTTTTATTGCAAAATAATTATATTTATAACAAATTGACTTTTCAGGCCAAAAGTTTTTTATTATTATACTTTTTTTTTTTAATTTTGAAATATAAAATTAACTTTTCATTTTCTTTTTTTTATTTGAGATATTAGAAATTAGAAACAAAGGAAATATTAAAAATTAATAAATGACGCAATGATTTTTCCGTTTTGCGTAAAAATAGTTTTTGGAGTTTATTAATGTTTTATTACTTTTTACACTTCCTTGTCCATGTTTGAGATTCACTTGTATTTTGCATCTGACTTATTTTTATTAAATTATAATTATTACAGTAGGTACGAAGAAAGATGTTTTTGAGGTTAGACAATACTTTTTTTAAAATTTTTTTATGTATTATTATTCAATCATAATGTAAATAAAATCTTAAGAAGTATCATACTTCATACATCACTTTTTAAAAAAATATTTTTTAAGCAAGCCAAATGTTGAAAGTACATTGAACACGCAATTTTAAAAAAAGATTTTAATTTCCTCAATATAATTAATCGCTATTGTCATTTTTACTTATCCAAATTCGTGGTGTTGTTGTAATTATTTAAAATAAATAAATTTATTAAATTGTAATTCACAAAAAAGAATGTTATAAATCTTCTTACTGTTTTGGAGTCTCCAAATCCATACAAAAAAAAAAAAAAAATGGAATTTCTTAGGGAAATTCAATTGTCTCCGTCAAAGTGGAAAAAGAGAAAGACTAAAATAAGAATCAAGTTTCTGGTGAAAAAAATTTCTAAATATCCGACACTAAAACTAAAATTCGTTTTTTAAATATACATTGGAAAATAAAATATTTTTTTAACAAAGTAAAAAAAGAAAGTGGGTAGAAAAACTAAACACAAATAATTTATTAATCAATCTTTCTCCATTCCCATAAAAAAGGTATTAAAAATATGGATAAAATTAGTTTTATTCGGTGAAAATAAAACAGAAACTATTTTGAAAAAGTTTGTTTTTTTTCAGTGGAAAACATCGCGTAACTTTAACCGCCGCCTCCATTCATTTTTCAACTATGTCCAACCAAACTCTTCTTCTTCTTTACACTTTTTTCCGCCTTGCTAACATTTTCCCTTTTTTACAGTATCAGCAAAATTAACAGACTGATTAATAAATCAGTCTGTTAATTTGATTAAATCCATATTTTAAAAAATCCAAGAAATCTTTATTCTAAGTCAGCAACATTCAAACTAACAAAACTGAGAAGTGAATTCATGCCTGTTAATTTTTTATCAGTGTATATTTTTTTTTTACACATGAATGGATAATAAAAATGGCTATGATTTTTAAAAGCCGGGCGGATTTTACTTGATTAATTATTGAAATCATCTTCACTCTTAAAAGTTTGTTAAATATACCAATGTTAAATAACTAAAACAAAATAACAGCTTGTAATAATTAATAAACTAAAAAAGATACTATGCGCGATGACTTTTTAAAATTTAATTTAATTTTCCTAGAGACTGTGTAAAATTATAATTGATATTTTTTTTTAATTTAAAGAAAATATCCAGATTTATTTTTTGTTTAATTATCTACTCTATTTAACATATTTTCTGGGTTTCTTTTCGAGTTACCAAACTGAAATTATTTATAAAAATTAAAAGCAGCAATGTTTATTTTTGTAGTCCACTTTTCGTTATTCAAAATTTATAAAATATGACGTTTACCGTTTATCTACATTTTTTTATTTCTGTGTTTAAAATAACTTAATTAAGCAGAAAGATAAATGTTTTTTTCGTGGAATTTTTGTTTCTAAATAATTCATTTCAGATTTGCAGCTCTTTCCACTGCTTGATATTTCACTTTTTAACAAATAACTGTATAAAAAAAATTAAATAAAATTAGTTAAAATACAAGCTAAATTAAATTTGCTTAAATAAATGTTATTCAACTTTAGTTGATTAGATAAGATTTCCTATTTTTTATCTTTAAAATCTTCAAATAATTTTTCTTCTTGTGAACTTTAAGGACTTTTTATGTCTATCTCAAATGGGGTGGAATAAATTAAGAAAACAGCATTTAAACTTAGTAAAAATGTGTTTTAATCTTTCGGTTTTTTTCTTTTGTTTTGTTTTTTGTGCCTTATTGCAAGTTTATTTTTGTGTACGTTTTTCATTTACACTACAGAATGACTAACCAAACCAAACCTTAACGTGTGTTGAAATTTGGACATAATGCGCGCGCACACACACACACACACCTTCGTCGTATCAACTCTCCCTATCTACCTACCTCTGAGCCTGTTTAGTGTTAGTTCACATATCTATCTATTTTAGTCCCTTCGTAATTTAAATTTATCTATCTCCTAGTCTCTTCACATCTATCTTCATAAGACCATATCTAAGTCTCTTCATATCTATCTATCTGGGCCTGTACATATCTATCTATCTATCTACAAAATGAGCATGAACTTGTCTTGATATCTATATATCTATCTCGCTATCTAAGTCTCTTCATAACTATCTTATTCTTAATGTGTGTCTATCTGCCTGCCTGCCTGCCTTACTAGCATTTGGTTGTCAGAGTCTTGCCCCTGCTCGACTCATATCATCATTAACTTGGGTGGGGCTTCTTAAATACAGATATGGGTGGTTGCCTCTCAACTCAATACGAAAAACTCAGCTCCCACCTTCGGAAAGGAATTCTTATCTCTCTCTCTCTCTCTTTCTTTCTTACTTTTTTTTTTTTTTTTTTGCAAATTCTGTAACGTTTTCCATCTTAGCCTTTCTATCTTTCTCTTTTCCTTTCTATTCGTCTCTTCACAGTTGACCGACTTTTAGTTTAGCAACATCGCCATAGTACTGAGTGTAGAAAGAGCATTAAGTAGTTTTACGTATTGAGTTTCATTTTCACAAACAAGGGAATTTTCTCTCTTTCACATTTTTACACTCTCTCTCTTTCTCTTCTACACATTTTTACTTTTCTCTCCTCTGCCCGTTTCTGGTCATTTTTTTTCTTCCTCAATACTTTTCCCTTAACATTTCTTTCTTTCTTTTTTATTCATCACTCTTCTTTCTGAATTGTACTTTCTTTTCTTTTTAACCTTTTTCTAACCAATCTCTTTGCCTGTCTCTTTCTAATTCGTCTCCATATTTTTAGGTTTCTCCCTCACCTTCGTCTTTCTCAGCTCTCTTTCTCTCAGCGGCGTCTCCCTTTTCTTTTTGTAATTTTGTTTGCTCACTCTTCTTTTCTCTACTAATCTCTCCACTTGACTCTTCTCTCTGTCCATTTTCTCCAATTCTAATTTATTATACTTTTTTACTCCTTACTCACTCTTTCCTCTCTCCTTCCCTGTCTATTTTCCTACCATTCCTTTGATACACTTCTTCCCTTATTTCTCATGATTTTAAAATAGCAGCAACTCTTAACATACACACGCGCACTTGCACTTGAATAAGGAAGTACAGTACATAAAAACAACAAATTGCAAATATCCATTACAGAGAAGCAGACAAACTAAGGGTCACTCTGTTGGGCAAGGCAGATAGTTGACTATTACTACTACTTTTACACTTTCAGGCTCAGCTCAAGTGGCAGAACTTGGAAAGGGGTAAAAAAAAAGGGCTGCAGACGAACAGTCCTGTTGAGATTCAAATAGAAGAATGAAAACTTTTCTCTCAGAATAAGCGGTTTCTCCTTTGACTTTCCGGTTACTTTAAACTTAAAGGATATTTATATTTATCTATTGTGTTCACCGGAACGACGCCTACGAAACAATTTCAAATTCAGTTGTCACATTATTATTTTTACTCTCAATCTCATCCTTATTGACCACCTCGAATTTTATCGCTTCAAGACAAATGAGCAAACATAAACAAAGTCCTTTTTTTCTACTCAAAACATCATAAATTATGTGTAGGTATTGCAAATTTTGCAAAACATGTATTGTACTGATTGCAAGGTGATTGGGGGACTTAGAAGCTGAGTTTTGTTTCGACTCAAAAACCAATTACTGGCGCTGAAATTAAACAAAATTCAATGAAGTGCGACGTGTAGGTTATTTCTTTTTTTTTCTTCCTTTTTAATTATTTTTTCTTTTCTTTCGTTTTTCTTTTTCATTTTACTGTACACAAGTCTACAAATGTAGGATACTTATTTTTAAACTCGCTACTTTTATAACTCGTACTCAGTAGAGATTGATCTTGGCTCACTTGAGTTTAACGGAACCAGGTTTACTTAAGCATTTAGTAAATAAATGACATACCTTAGTGAAGTGAGTGGCATAATATATATATATAATTATATATATAAAGCAATTAATTTATTTTTAAATCCAGCATTAATTCCCAAGTGTTATTTCGTGAGTACGTGTTTTAGTAGACACCTCTGTCTTTTAAACAGTAAAATTACGGGCCTAGAGATCAAAAGCCATTTTTATCTTTTCAGGGCGTAGGGTGTTTTATCTAGTAAAATTTTCGATCTCTAGGGCGGTAGACATTAATTTCACAGTTTAAAAGACAGTGACGTCTACTCAAACACGTGTACCAAATATAACAATTTAGCTTAGTGCCTGATTGTTGCGTATTTTTTCACTGGCGATGGGACTTCAAATGCTGATTTTCAAGCTAAACCTCACTACTCGGAAGATTGGTATGACATCAATCTCTTTAACATCTATTTCCTTCAATTCTGACCTTGATTCAAATGTAACTGAACTGAAGCGACGGAAATAAGAAAATATCAATTTGGATTTGGAGAATTATTGGGATTAGACTAGAGAGCAATAATGTGAATGAAATTTCCTCTTGAAGGTAACAGAAAAAATTTAAAACTGCGTTCTAAATTCGAACTCCTGTTTCTAGTTTAGAGGAGAGTTGCTCAAAGAATTACACGAAAGTAGTTATCACGAATATTTGTTTAAATGTCCAATATTTTGTTAATACGTGTGTTTATGAAACACCCCACTAAATGCGCATGCGATTGAATATAATAATATGCGTCTTTACTCTTTAGTTTTTACTCATTTTAAAACTTAATCTGATATCAAGTTACGATAGTAATTGGGGAACTACGTAGGATCGAACTAATATCAACAGTGGATGAACTAACCATTACGTTACGTCAATACAAACAACGGATATTTGCTAAACCATCTTTGGCATAAGGCTTCATTAGGATTCATAGAGCACTATCAGCCAGTAAGGAACAAATTTACAAACAACAATGATTGCAAAACACCCTTATTTCTACATACTGTGAAAAGCATATCAATATGTGTGTGTGTGTTTAGTGCATTTATAAAAATAATAGTTTCATTGCTGTTAAGTAGACAGGTTAATGCTTTGAATGCGCCACAACACTGACCTTATGTCAGACTAAAAAATAAGCTAAATAAAAAAAAATGCCTTGCTATGTAACAGTGATTAGCAAGGCAGATTTACAAGACATGGCTACTGTTAAAGAGTTCGATCCTCTCTGGGTGTCCCCAACTTCCGCAAACGCCTGTAGCCTTGCTAGGTTTCTTCATGCATGGAAATGCGTGTCTATATGAAACTGGGAGGAGAAAGTGAGAGCTCGGATAACAGTTTTTCTTCTTTGGCTGACGTCATGCTGCAAACTGATGCAACCTCGCTGACCCCTGATGACCGAATGACCCCTCTTGACCTGCTTGTAAGAGGTCAAGAGTCCTCTATATTCAAACATCGATCCGTGGCCGTTACTACGCTTCCATGACAAGCAAACACACAGACACAGCCATGGATATTTTCTATATGAAAATCAATGAACAACGCTACAATGTCTACGCTACTTTTATGACGTGTCCAGAACTATAATAAAGGTCAAAAAAGCAGATTCAAAATTCTCTCTCTCTCTCTCTATACATATATATATGCCTTGATAAAGTCCTTCAGAGGACGAAACGCATCAGCTAATATGTTTTCCTTTTGTTTGTCTTTATATATTTATACGTATACATATATGTATGTATATATATGTATATATATGTGTCTATGTGTATATATATATATGTGTGTGTGTATATTGTGTATTTAGGCAGTACTCCCTCTTTCATACATGTTTCGTTAAAGACGACTGACAAGGTCCTGCAATTAGGATTTTTATTTAATTTTCTTCAGTTCGTACACGAGATTTCTTTTCTGGGCACAAAGTATGTAAAAACTGTTCAAAATTTCTGCATATCCGAGCGTTTCGACTATATTTTTAGCCATTATCAATGTCGTTATATATATATATATATATATATATATATATATATATATATATATATATATATATATATATATATATATTATTATTATTATTATTATTATTATATCGTTGACCAGACTAACACGGTACTTTAGTTTTTTTACTATGTTTCTCTTGTATACATACAAGGAGGACAAGTGTCTTCTTTTCTGGACTTAAAAACTACCAAAAAGTTTGTTGATTCCAAGCGCTTGGTTTTAAACCTTGATCCAAGAATTCAAGAGGATTAAAATAAAATAAATAAATATAATATGTCCAGAATATTCAACCAATATACACATACACACACATGTTTAAGAAGACATCCCTGTTTTTTAAACGGGGAAATTAATGCCTACTGACCTAGATATTGAATCTCTTAATAAAAAAAATGTTCCACCCGATAGGAAACGAAATGCATTCCTTTTTTAATCAGGTAAACCGCTTTTAAGTCAAATGTGCTTTTTTGTAGAAGTAATATTCTATAATTCAAATACGTCTACCTATTAAATATAACGTTGTTGTTAATAATAATAATAATAATAATAATAATAAAATCAGAGCGTTATAGAGAGAGCAGGATTGCCTTCATCCCCTATTTTTGCTGGAACTGAGAACTAAACAAAAGATTAAATTTATCTCCTTGACCTCAATCTATAAAATCAATCTTTATTATTTGAAGCTGCATCATTTATTTAAAATCATTACTGTCATTAATTTTCAAAATAAATCAGAAATCTTCTTTTCCGTTATTTCTTTCCCGAAAAATTATATTCTAAAACATTTATTAAGTTTTATATGCAAAAAAGTCTATGAACAACCTGCAAAAAGATGGTGTAAATGCAAAACCAAAAATGTTTACAGTAGGACAATAAAAGTATCTTCAGTTTACGAGATGATCAGATGTAAAAAAAAAAAAAAAAAATGTAAAGAGAATCAGGAATCTTTAAAACTTAGTATCTAACTTAGCACCCCAACTTCTAAAATCCAATTTAGATCCCAAACCTTTTTATTTTGTTGCGTCGTGCCTCTAAGACGCACCCCCACACACATATAGACATATAAATTTATATTTCAACCAACCAGACCACACTGCATTGATAACATCAGATGCGTGCTTTTAGCGTCTTCATTTAAATGCCAACAAAAACGACGTTAAGTCTGAGTTAAAATATCTTCGAAATAGAATCACATATTAAAAGATCAAACAGGAATTTAGGCTTACTCAAAGAATACAGTTTCCACTGCGAGCCTTCCACAAACTCCCCACAACACTAGCCGTGACAAACTACTAGGCCAAAGCAATCAAATTTCTTACAATAATACAACACATGGGAGAGAGAGAAAAAAAAAACAAAAACAACAGAATTCCCCAGAAGAGTGAGTCCCACTTCATTGTTTATTTCTCATCTCGTTGATAAAGGACACAGACGTGTCTGAAAAACTCCGACTTTAAAATCTTTCTCGTCGTGCTTTAGTTTTTAGTCAAAAGGCCCATAAACTAAAATAAAAGTCTTATTGATAATATTTTTATCATTTTGTAATTATAATTACTTCGTTTATCTTTTTGTTGCATTTTAGCCGATTTATTGTTCTTAGGTTGTTTAATTTGTAAACAATTGTCTTGAGATTTTAGAATGAAGAATTTTACTTTTCTTTATTGGTCTATTTTTTTCTTTTTAATTTAAATGATATTTTTATCACGTTCTATATTGGTGTAAGAAAATAATATATATGTCAGATGAGCTCCGGGATGTGAGTTCGAATTCTGTCAGAAGTTACTTTTGTTTTATTTTGAAGCGCATATTGCTTCCAACTTAAATCCTATCCTGTATCACTGAACCATTGTTATCTCCCCCCCCTCCAAAAATCCTTATAATCTAAAAAAAAATTTCTGGCTTTGACACGCAAAAGGTTGACAAGCCGTAGAAAATGAATCAATCAACCAATTAAATCCAGTCCAGTGAGTTCTGCAGGAATTCCCGCAGACACAGAGTGACAACGAATACATATGTTTCAATTGTTTTATTTGAACCCTTAAAAATATAACAACGATAAAATGACATAAATATTACAGGAAGTGCTTAACATCATCAGCAACTAT